GAAGTTCTCTTCACGTCCTTTGAAACCCATAATGATGCAAAGGATAACAGTAAAGAAAAGGCACTCTCACATGATTGTGTTTTTCAGAGCAAGTGAGGCTTCCTGCTCGTGGGCTGTGAAGAGACTCGGGAAGGTCATTAGCACAAGACCTGTGAACTGATGCGAGTTGCGGGTCACCTTTAGGACAGGACAGACTCTCATTCCGTGTGCCCGCAGTTTATAGGCATCGCAGCAGTGGATCAGTAAAGGCTGAGCCTGTACCAAAACCTTCTTAGGGAAAGCTTCCATTTTGGCTTACTGTAAATCAAAATGAATACCCTCACTAAACAGAGCGGTGTTCCCTAAATTGGTGTCAGAATCACCGGGCATGCTTTTTTAAAATGGGAGATTCCTAAGTCCCACCATTAGAGATTCTGATTCAGTGTGTCTGAGGCCTCTGTCTGCATTGTCAAGAGTATGATTCTGATATGGTGGGCCAGGGGTCAGTATTTAAGAGACACTAAGCGTCTCAGAGTTCTAACAAGCAAAGTGAAGCACTTATTTTTAGAATTGTCAAAAGAAACCAACAGAAGAACATTTTGAAGTAGAAATAGAGGGGTCATTATATTGTTTTGTCTGTTTTTGTCTATGCTTGAAACTTCATTATAAAAGTTTTGTTTTAAATCTAATGAAGAAGAAACACATGTCTTGAGGACTTGCTGATTCATAGCATACTCTTGCAGGTGCGAGACACGGAGGACATGGCCAACCTTCAAGACTTAGGGCCGCCTTTCCTCGTGCTGTCTCGCCTGTCTGGCTTTGCTTAGCACCTCTCTGAGAAGCTGGGAAAGTGTGGCCGGTATTTCACAGCAGGAAGCAGAATTGGTGCCCAGCTTTTTGAAGGCATGACTCAGATGGGCACTTTGGAGAGTTCATTTTAAAGATGGTGTTGAGTTTTTCTGTAATCTGCAAATTTTAGTTATCTGTCCCACCATTTTGCTATGTTACGGCTAAGCAGTGGCAGTATTTTGCAGATATAAGCTGACACTCTCCTTTGGTTNAAAAAAAAAGAAAGAAATGATATTACAGTGGAGTTTTAATTTGCATCTCTCCTCTCTGGGTGAAGTTGACCATCTTTTCAGTAGCTTAAGGGCCATTTTTATATCTTTTTTTGTGAATTGTCTGTTCATGTCTTTTGCCCATTTTCTAGCCCCCGCTCAGTTTTAAAGAGCTCTTTATATGAAGAGTATTAGCTCGTTATCTGTGATGTTATGTTGTATACCTTTTCTCCCAATACAGAGGGTGCCAAAAAAATGTATACACATTTTAAGAAAGGAAAACTGTTAAAATTGTAATATTCAATATATACCAGTAGCGAAAGATGAATACAAATCATGTTTGACTTCTTCAATTATAGAGGTGAAAATGGTTACCATCAGAGTAATTTTAATATAGTTTTTTTCCTTTCTTAAAATGTGTATACATATTTTTGGCACCCTCTGTATTTTCCCTTGGTTTTTTACAACCTGTTTTGGTATATTTTATGTAAAGGTGGAGCTCAGTAACATCTACTATTTTTTTTTTTTTTTAAGATTTTACTGGGGAATTGGGGGAGAGGAACAGACAAGTTGCTGTCCTTTTGTTCTTCAGTCTAGTTATGGAAGATGTCACTTCACTGACCCATGTTAGTATTATCATTGCACTCTTCCCGGGTGAGGCAGTTGCTCACCAGCCATTGGACGGCCGCTCACGGCAGCTCACAAAAGCTCGTGCCAGCTGCCAGCCAGCCCCACTGCAGCCTATGGCCATCGCCAGCAACTCACTGCAGCCCAGCTCCAGGTCGAGCTGTTGTTCACCAACTTAGCTGTACAGGGTGCAGTGTCACTGGCCCTCATGTGGGATCCAAACTGGGGCCCTGCTGCTCAGAGCCGGCGTCCCAAAGCCAACTCTTAACCAATGTGCTACTCGGCCGGCCCTAACATCCACTATTTTTAATAAGACCACAATACATTTATGTATCTATCAGAATGTAGCTCTTGAAGTGGCACAAACACACACTTCCAAGATAGAGATGCTGGATAAATAGTAAGTGCTGTGCCCTGCCAATGCGAACAGTACTTGCTGATCTGTTTCAGACAAGGCTCATGAGACTCTTATGAGAAGTGTGGACCTTCCCTCAAAAGATGCCAGTGTACACACCATGGCCTGGCTGTGGACCTGCTTCAAACAGAACAGTCAGCCGTGCCCCACTGCCTTTTACTTAATCATTCTTTGTACTCCACCTGCTGCTAAAAAGATACGAGGCATCTCTCCTCTGATGCCAAGAAAAGCAGTGTTCGTGTCAGCACGCCTCCTTCTGGTGTTGGTGTTGTGTTGCTTCTGATTTCCTTAGTTGTGACGGGACCGATCCCAACGGTCCTTACTTGGGTCAGGGAGCAGGCATGAGGAATGGTCTTTCCACGCTGTAGTGGAAGTCTGAGCAGGAATGTCCACTCACAGGCTGCGGCAGACATGGCCCGCGAAGAAGTCCCTTGTTTCCGTGTCAGCGCGTTTGAGCTAGAAGCAGCAGTGCGGCCCTCATAGCTTTATGTCTACTTCCTTGGGCATATTACTCACCCTCTCTGAGATTTCATCCTGTTGCCTGTTAGAAGCAGCGTAGCAGAGTGAGGACGAGAACAGCCTCTGGAGCCAGACCGTTTGGGTTCAAATGCCCATCTTGCACCATTTCCTAGCCCTGTAATGTCTGGTACTCTCCATGCCTCAGGTCCACCCTCCTACGCGAGTGAGTGAATGTGTGAGTCTCCATGCTCAGTCATCGTTAGCTCCCATCATCAACCACAAAGGAAATACCTGTGGGATGTTGTGAGGTTTAACCAAGATAATGCAAAGTGCTCCTCACACATACTCCATATGTTAATTTATTGAGTTTAGAAATAGAGTGGCTTTTTAAAAAATCTTTTACTTTGCAGGGACAAAGTGCATTTCTGTGCTGCTTTGGGTTGAGGAAACAGCATTAACCCATCTACAAGATTGTTTTCTGGGTTATTTCTGCCTAGAAAAGGGTTCTCATCGTGTTCTGAGCTCAGCATATCCCAGCCAGCCCAAATCTTGCCACTCTCTCCTTCTTTTAGTTGATGGATATAATGATGTCTTGACTTCTTTCAAAGTTTCTGAATTGTCTCCCATGTGGCCTCATGGAATCTTTAGTGTAGTTGAAAAGAGGAACCCCTCCCCCCAGCCCGTGGTCCAGTGTCAGCTACTGGTAAGGTCCTTGCTATTGAAAGCAATTACAAGCTTATTAGTCACTCAAGTGAGGGGCTGCGTAACCTTCTAGGATGTGTGTATACATACATCCTTCGAGGAGGATGTATGGCCAAACACTACACAGTCACAAATTTCATTAAGTCGTCACAAACATTCTCAGGGCTGAGCATGTTATGTGCTCTGGTGCTAATGAGCAGAGGTGCGTGCAGACGACCCAGGTTGTGGGGGAAAGGAGGGCAAGGAGGACCCCTAACAGTAACAGCAAACATGCTGAGTTATTACGATGCCAGGCACTGGACTGAGGGTTTAAAAGCAGCGTCACTTGTACTCCTCACAGCAACACTCTGAGGTAAGTGCTTTTGACCCCACGGTTTACAGATGAGGAAACTGAAGCCCGGAAAGACGAAGGAACACTCTAAGGGCACCCCACAGGCAGACTGCAGAGCCCACACTCCTGCACCGTACTGGGGCCTGAGCAAAGTGGGGTCCTGACCAGAGGGCCACAGAGGGAGGGACTGAAGTCAGGGGACAGTTCTTTCTCATCAATGACCCATCACAGGAAGGAGGCAAGCGCGCCAGCTGGCTTTCTCCCCGGGGTCAGTGTAGATGCCTTCTCCCCTGCAGAGCAGATGCCTCTCCCCTCCTCTTTGTTTTTTACTGTCTTCGTTTCCTGAAAATGTGGCTGGGTCTGCTTAGCATGCTTAGCAGAGCAGCAGGAAATGCACTCAAGCGGCCAGTGCCAGCTATGGGTTTTTTTTGGAGTTTTAAAAGAGACTTAGCTGAAAGTCCTATTTTCTCCCCCACTGAAAAGGAAAAATGTTTTTACATAGTTACATTACTTCTTGTGAAAGAAATATGGAAACAGTAGGACCAGTGAAGATCCTTTGATAATGAAAGAATAATATCTATGTCTGAAGTATGAGGTTTGCAGCTGTTAGAGATATATCAAGAAATAACTGCATTTCAGAAATAACAGAAATCACTAAAACTTATTCAAAGAAAGGACTACAAATGGGGAAATACATATGGCAACATCGTGTGTATGATTAGGTCTCTATCCCTAAAATAAGGACTAAATCATAGAAAAATAACAAAGCCAATAATTGGGACAGTTGCTGAGTGCTGGAAGCCAGCATTGCATAAATTGGAGTGTTTCTTTTGCATGTCAAAAAGGTAGACCAACATAACTGGTCTAGTGTAACTCTGTTTTTTCAAAGCAGTGGAAAAGGCAGATCCTGTGAAAGAAGGGACAAAAAGGATAGTTTTCTCAGAATTTAAGAAAATCTAAAACTGAAATGCTTTAAAAAAAAACCAAACAGGTACAGCTGATCTTTGAACAACATGGGTTTGTACTGCACAGGGCCACTTATATACAGGTTTTTTTCAATAAATATTGTAAACGTTTTCTCTTATGATCTCAGTATTTCCTCTAGCTTACTTTATTATAAGAACACAGTATAAAATACACATAACATACAAAAATGTGTGTCAATGGACAGTTTATGTTATTGGTGAGGCTTCCGGTCAACAGGTTTTGGGGTTCAAAAGTTACACACAGATTTTTTACTGCATGGGGGTTGGTACCCCTAACCCCCGCGTTATTTAAGGGTCAGCTGTGTGTTGTCCTGATAGCAGTATCTCCTGATTATACATAACCTCACTGCCTCTTATTTAAGGGAATAGGTTTATGACTCCCACCCAGGGGTTGGCTGCCTTTCTTCTGCCTGCCAGCTACTCATCTCAGAATTCTGTTTCAGGTCTCTGTCCTAGGATGCCCTGACCCAGTGGTACATGAGATCGCCTATCAATATGGAAAAAATGTGGGAATAGCTTTTCAGGTTGGTCTGCTTTTTTTGTAAGACTGGGGCCTGTTGGTACAGTGGGAAGGGTGGCCGGGATGCTGGGATGGCGGTGCTTAATGACATTCCGTTTTTCCTCTCACTAGCTAATAGATGACGTATTGGACTTCACCTCATGCTCTGACCAGATGGGCAAACCAACATCAGCTGATCTGAAGCTTGGGTTAGCCACTGGCCCTGTCTTATTCGCTTGTCAGCAGGTAGGTTTTGACACACAGCTGTGCAGCCCTATAGAGCCGGTACCTTCCAGGCACAGTTGAGGGGAAGGTTTAGGAGAGGAGTATTTAGGGAAGCATTTGGGTAAGAGACCTCAGATCTAGATTCGCTCCTGGCTCTATGTCTGAGGTGCTGGGGCCAGTCATTTCAGCCCTGAGCTTTATGTTCCCTTATCTATAAAACCGAGATTCCAGCCTTCCAGCCAGGGTTGTTGTGAGGGTTCACCGAGATCATCTTCATGGAGATACTTTGTAAATTAAGAGCTGTATGCATTTAAGGTAGCATTGTGATTATTGCCATGTATTTGGAACACTGACAAGGTGAATGGTTTCCACATCTTGATTATAGGACTGGACTGTGGGTGTGCCTCAGAACCCCTTAAAAGGGCACAGAAAGGGCCTCCAAGCATAAGAAATTCTGAGAAACTCTCCAGTTCTAGAAGTTTAATGGGACTGTTTGCTGCTCTCAGAGAGCCTCGGCCACTGCCTCAAAATGTCAAGAAGTCAGTGGAATGACTACTAGAACCACATAGTTCCTTCTTTCTCCACATTGAGGGGCTGTCCATTAAGGAAGTAAGTAAAGTCGCCTTCATGTTCTCTTTAGTGTGGATGAGAAGCTTAGGAAGCTCCAGAAATGCTGCAGCGACTAGCAGGGCGGACTCTGAGAGCTGCTCTGGCCCCGGGCCACACGGCTTTCGGCTGTGCCAAGTGCTATTTGGAATAAGTGGGACACTGCCTGGCATTTGGACATCTCTTTAACAGATTTCATCCTGGCAGTATTTAATTCATTATTTAGCAAAGCAGTAAGATGTTCCTCACCACGCCATGAGATTAAAAATGAGCTCTCTGCTCTCAAATATTGGTTATGTTTAGTCTTTCAGAGTTCTGCCTATATTCTCTCTCAGAATTTACAACTATCAATCATATCTTCCACAGAACTCAGTGATTCCATTTTGATATTACAGAAACCATGACCTTGCTTTTTTCAGTTTCTGCCAGGAAAGGAGAGATCATCTCTTTTCCACTATCCAGCAGAGCCATAACCAGGGCAGTTCTCAGAGGAGGCTGGTGGCCTGGGGGCAGGGCCAGGTTACCTTGGATAACACTGGTGGACAGCAGGTACCTGAAGAATGAGGGCTGTGAACAGAGATGTGGGAGCACTTTGTGGAAAATCTGTCATTACCAGGCTCTGTCCTCTCAAAATTTTGAGGCAGCAGTGGGAAGTAAAAGGTGTGCTCTAAATGGGTCTTTTCTCCTATTGAGACCAACTCACCAGCCTAAAACACAAGAAAATTAATACATGTGCCAAGTTCTGACAAATAATTCTAAAATCCCCTCGTACACATTAAAGCAGCAGTTCTCAACCTTCCTAATGCCGCGACCCCTTAATACAGTTCCTCATGTTGTGGTGACCCCCAACCATCAAATTATTTTTGTTGCTACTCTATAACTATAATTTTGCTACTGTTATGAATCGTAATGTAAATATCTTTTTGTTTTCCGATGGTCTTAGGCGACCCCTGTGAAAGGGTCGTTTGACCCCCCAAAGGNTGGCACTGCTGATGTATCGGACGAGCTCATTCCTCCTGCCACTGGAGGAGAACGTGGCAGCCCTGGCCTCGACCCACTAGGTGCCAGTAGGGCCCACACCCCCCAGTTGGTGACAACCAAAAATGTCTCCAGACATTACCAAGTGTCCCCTACGGAGCAAAATCATCCCTGGTTGAGAACCACTGGTTTAGGGAGAATGTGTGTTTATAGTTTTAATTTCTCAGCTTAATACATAATACAGTTCGGTAGTCTCAGATAACGTGCAACAGAAAGCAGTCTGCACTGCTTGAGCTGCAGTTATCCTCCCAGGTGCGAGCTTTTCGGTTTGCTTCACTGACACCGTGTAAACTGTTGGTTGCAGAAAACATGGGAGAATATAACACAAAAAAGGCATTGCTAGTTCAAAAAGTAAGTTCGAGACTGCCCTCTCCAGGGACGTTGTAGCTGCAGCAGCATTCTCCCTGTAAGTGGAGCCTGCGGCCTCCCGAACGCACACTGTGGACGTGAGGCCCGGCTCGGGGCTGTGAGTCGTAACTGTGGCGTGCATTTAGGGGGTACAGTATCCCAGCTACATTACTCTCCACGCCCCAACCTCTTGAGAATAAGAATCCTTCCTAAGGTCCCTTTCGGATCAACTTCTTCATGGACTAAGTATCTAGCTGTTCGTTCCATGCCACTTTAAGCAAGAAGGGGGCTTGCAGGGAGAGCTGGAGAGCTGAGCCGTCTGATTTTGCTTGCTGAGAAAGACCGAGAACAATATGGAGCAGAGGTAGCTGAAGATTCAGGAGCAGGGCCACACACAGCCTCTGTTTCTGGCCACTCGAGGTGTCCTCAGCCCCAGGGCCACCAGAACCCATTCCTGTACTTCACTGGCTTGCTTGTTTGTGATGGCAGAATTGAGAGAAACCTGCTTTATCGCTTGACAGTCAAAGTTTAACGGCTCCTATCACACACTGTTGTCTTGCTTGTGAGATATTTATTACATAAGTCACCAGTAATGCTGGAGGGGATTGTAGAAGACAAAAGAGAACAGATACCTCAGGCAATAGAGATAGAAAACGACTTTTATTGGTTTTCTTTTTCCTTTATTCAGCTGTTCAGTCGTCCACTAAGTGTTCTCTAGGACTTCTTAACCTAAGGCCCATGGGAGTTATGGGGTCTGTGAGTCCCTTAGAATTGTATGCAGAATTCTTTGTGTATTTGCATTTTTCTGGGGAAGAGTATCCATAGCTCATAATATATCATCGAAGGGCCACATAGCGCCCAAAAGCTTAAGACTCAATGTTTCTCCTTTCTGTGTTCTGATAACCACAGTACCTGGGTGGGTGAGGCAGGCGTGCACACAACAGATGACTCTCAGACTTGAAAGGCCCAGAAAACAGAGTTGCGGTGGGTTCTGGGCTCTGCCTCTTTCCTCCTCTCGCCCCAGCAGGACTGTTCCCAAGGGCACTCCTGAGGAGACATCCTGTACTTTCAGCTTCAATCTTCCTCCCAAAGAACCCCACCTGCAGCAGAGTTCAGCAAAACCCAAACTAGCCCACACTAAGTATGTCAGGTCTGACTTTGTCAAAGAATCCAGATCAAAATTGAACCTTACAGTAAATAGATTTCTGTAAAATTGCTCCACTCATTGAGTATAACACAGCTGGAGTGTCTAATGTTTTCTCAAACAAGCCAGACCTATCCTGCTCAGCAACCTCATTGAAGGGCTGACTGTTACTGACCTTGGCACCGTCCGTTCCCATGTGGCAATCTCCCAGCACTGATCACTGCCAGTGATTGGCATAGTAGGATCACTGCAGTGGTATTGGGCACACAGCTGTTGGTCCTGATTGTGCACGTAGGCAAGAGGTATTGAATCCCACTCGTCCACTTTACAAAGCCAGACACACGATTAGATGGTACAGATTATACCATCTATTAGATGATAGGTCAAGAATCCAAGTGTGATAAAAAAAACTTTATATTCAGAGGAGGTAGCTTTTATGATTCTCATAAAGACAAAAGAAATTATAAAAGCCTGCCCTGGGAAGACTGTAACACGGTCATTGTAGCTCCAGCTCACTTGAATGATTCTAGAACCATTGGTTTCCATGTGTTCCAGATCATTGAGCTAGCTACTGCTGCGGCTTTTTACAGGAGAGGCAGGAAGGCTGGTGCCAAAAGAAAGGTTTTTGTCTTTAACCTAGGAGATGGCACTTTTGTTGCGTCCATGCTTACTGAAATGGATCTTAAAGTACATAAAGCTTATAAGTCACGCGCTGACACGGGGGAGATTTTGATTACCAGATAGTCTTCATCTCATTGGTGAGGTCAAACCCAAGCATTAGGAGAACCTCAGTGAGACCAGGAGGTGCGCAGGGCACTTGAACATTCTGTGTGCACCCTCTTCCAGCACCCANTCCTTTTTACCATTAACTCACCAAAAGGCAGAGGATTCAACAGCCATGTAAAGGCATGCCTGAGATTAGAAGGATTGGTCACTGGCTACCATCTCTACAGCTAAAAAACTTAATCTACTCTTCAGAGCCTGGTTAGTAAATGAGAACAAAGAACAAGATGGATGGAGCACACTGAGGTTCAGCCAGCTCAGCAAAGACTCCTGTAGCTTGGCCCTGAAGTTATCAAGATGCCTAAGGAACAGACCTTTCCCTAGAGCCTCCTAAAAAGCTTGGGTGCTATCCTTTTAGAAATCTTAACAATTATAATTGTCACGAGTCCCATGATACTAAGTTAACGGCGGAGTCCTACGTCACCCTGAAGGTGATTGAGAATGGCTCCTTTTCCTGAGTGTTCCACTGTGAACATATTCCAGAACTGGTTGGCTTCCCTCTACACAAGGAGTAATGACTCATTCTACCTTCAGATACAGTGGGGCAAGGTCAGGGGAAAACATACCACTCTTCCATATTGATTTGTCCCCATCTACAAGAGTTGAGAAATGCTAGTTTAAAAAAAAGGCAAGGAAAAGGAACAAAGCTTACAGTGCCCCAAACCACAGTTTTGTTTCACTGGAAATCCCAGCATCACGAGGCACACACTCACCCTCACCAGACACCACTTTTCCCATCTGTCTATAAGGCACTGGGAGGAGGAGTGAAAAGGCACTTTGCAGCCTTAGAAAAGGGAACATGGAATGAGGCCGAGCAGGAAGTGACTCTGGACAGGAGCTGTTTCCTCAGTAGACTGATCATTCTTGTCTTGTGGCGCATGGGCCAAAGTTAGTCAAATATGTATTTATAAGTTGTTTCATATAAAACATCAAGTTTAGGTTCCACTAAGGATTACACTGTCAAAAAAGGAATTCTTGGCCAGACGTTTGTCAAAAGATTTATGGGGCTAAAATGGATTTTGGGGTAAAACAAGTTCCAAAAATAACATGAGAATGTGCAGTATCTCCATTAAACGAAAATGCATTGTTTTCATAGTTTGCAAAGGATTCTTTTATACATTATCTCTAATCTCACAATGAACTCGTCTTTGCAGTAGGTGTACGTCCATTCTGCAAATAAGAAAGTGATGCTCAAACTTGGCCAAAATTAAGCACCTGGTAAATGGCACGTTAGGCAATTAAACACTCCAAGTCTTCTAAGACCCATATTCATTGTACTACACAATGTAATATTATTGCCACCGCAAAAGCTAGTACCTGATGAGCTTGTGTGATCCCCAGTAGGTTTTCACTTAAAATAGGTAATTGGTGTGCTCTGGCACTGAAAATGTACTGATGACACTCAAGAAGTCTGTGTCAGCTTTCATTATTTGTAATTAACCTACCAATTTAGTGGAGTTGCTGAAAGATGTTTATAATCTTTTTCCAGAGGCAGGTGAGTTTTGTTTACAGATTGAGATAAATCTTTGAACTTTTCCATTTGTGAACACTGAGTCTCACTGGACCAAGACAACCTTGGGAAAGTGCTTCTCCTTTTTAACTTAGACCAGGGAATTTGGTATTTATTGGACCCAGCCAGCAACTTGATAGAAACTCCCTTTCTTTGGAATTCACTATTTTTAACATCTCTCTGAAGGGGTTTCTGGATAATAGCTGGTCTAGGGGATTTAAGAAGAGTTTCAAAATTTCTGGGGAGGTCCCAGTGATGACAGCGTCCTTCCATGTATGTGTGTGTACATGTCTTCTTTGAGAACAAAAACCTCATGTTAAATCTTTAAAGAGAATATAATAGGTCCGATTTTGAGATCTTCAGAAACAAAATGGAAGTGGGGTTTTTTTGGCGTTTTTTTTTTTTTGGTGATACATTAGTTAGTTCTCAAATATCCTTTAAGAGGTCTTTCCCTTTCTTCTGCTTCTCTTCCTTATTTGGTAAGTCACCAGACCTAAATGTCAGGCTGGAGCTGTACTTCCAGCTACCGTCACCATCACCGGCCCCTGCGCCAGCTGCACAGGCTTTCGCTAGTGTGAGCAGCTGGTACCTTAGAGTTACCCTCGTTTTGTTTAAGCTCACTCCAATGTCTCGATCACCTTTGTAATTTAGTTTATGGTGTCGTTTAGATTGCACAGAGTTAGAATCTGATTCATCCACAGCTGGCCCTCCTACTCTTAAACAGACCCTGAGCAAACAAAAAAATTTTTTTTCTCATTAAATCTGCAGACAGGCAAATGGTTCTTCCTGTTATGGTTCTTATTTCTTCTCCCCATACACACCAAGGGGACAGAGGAGTGCCTAGGGGAACAGTTTGATATTTGCATAGTAAAACTGCACACAGTACATCTTTCAAAGGAAGGAGGTAGCCACACTCAATGCAGATATATTTTCTCAAACTGCTTTCTCAATGCTTTTTATAGTAAAAGGAAAAAGAAAAACCATCCAATCAGCACATTTTATACTTGTTACTAATGTAGAGAAAGCTCATATACCATAAACAAGGTAATTTTACCAGATGCGCAGGACTGTATCACATCAGCTTTGAGGAGACAGCTTTCTAGAAATTCAATTTTGGAATGTGGTATTAATAAACTAAAATTAATATTATAAATTAAAATTAATAATTAATAAAATTCCTACGTGATTTAACTTTTAGCCACTAAAATTAATTGACTTGAGCTTTCCTGATTTATTGCCTATAAAATTTAAATTATTTTATTCTTAAAAGACCAATAACTAAAGCAAATTATGGGTTTTCACTTAATAACTAACAGGCTCTTTAAATGTGGTAAGCATGTTATCCGTCTCTACACGTTTATAACTTTGTTATGACACATACTTTGCTCTTAAAGGAACATTTTTAAGCCCTAATCTGCCATCATCTGGTTGAGGTTTTTCTATGTGTGCCCTATTTTTTCTTCTGGATTACCAATACCATCGTGGTGATTACAGGACAACTTATTTCATCCTTCAGGCTCACCGGCCAGGAAAAAACTGGCAACCGCTGTAAGCACTGACGTGTCCAAAACCAAACACATCATCTCACCTCTTACTTCACGGGACCATAAGCTGTTAGAGCTAATGGATCTAGACCACATAGTTTAGCTCCTCTGTGACACAGATGAGGTGACGAGGACCCAAAAAGTTTAGCAACTCACTCAGCTGTGGCAGTACTAGAGCTTGAATCTAGAAAATGAAGTCATTTGGTGTCCTGGCTTCCTGATTCTGTTAGTGGTGACAATTCTCCTAAATTGTTACTAAGTATCATATAATATAGATTTTTCTCTTCAGTACCTCTTAGAGGTACCTGTTTTCTTTTTTCCTTATTGCCATCAGCTTAATTTTGGTCTTCTTTATAATTTACTACAGTGACCTGACTGGTATTTCTACCTATCTCCTCTAATTCAGTGACACCCAACCATGGCTACACATTTAAAACACCCGGAGAGTTTTTAAAATCCTGAGGCCCAGGGCAAACCCCAAGCCAATATAATCAGTCTTTGAGAGCAGATCAGGCCACATTGTATTACAGACCTCCCGAAGTGATGGTAGTGTACGGTCAGTGTTGAGTGGCACTGCTCTAATGCACTCTGTGAGCTGCTAAGGCAGAGCTCTGCTCATAAGACCCTCTGCTTGGAAACCTCAATAGCTTTTACGGGTCACTCAACTTAGTACTACTTGGTTGTCGGAAAAGTCATGACGACGCATTTTTGCAATGAAAACATAGAAAAAATACGTCATGACTTTTCCGACAACCCAATAGAAATAGAATGCCTAACTCCCACCCTTATCCTAGGTCAGTGGTTCTCAAAATGCCAACAGAGACCAGCAGAATCAGCATCACCTGGGAACTTGTTAGAAAGACATGCTCAGGCTCACCCCTACTGAGTTAGAAACTTGAGGGAGAGGCTTGGGCCTCTGGTGATTCTGGTGAGATGGAAAGTTCGAGAACCATAAGTCAATAAGATTTTAGAGATGTACTGTTCTCTTTCTTACTCAACACTGGACCAAGGATAGAAAAGAACATCAGATGAACACCGTGCACCAGCCCAGTCCCTGGGCACGGAAATGGATGTCTCTCTTAGCTCTGCTTCTTCAGTTGTTACAATTTACTGCTCCCCTACATCATCTAATCACATTTTTGTTTTTTCCTATTATTATCTCCTATTGTTACAAACTAGTATTAGAACATTTGATTCTGCCAAGAGCAATAAATAGATTTTCTGTCTTTATGGTTAGTTCCCAGAAATGAATGCTATGATAATGAGACGGTTCAGTTTGCCAGGAGATGTGGACAGAGCTCGACAGTACGTATTACAGGTAAGATGATTTTCAAAGACAACAGCAGGTATAATGTAATGAAGTTTTTTAACCAAACAAGTAACATAACATTAAATTTTAGATACAAAACCAAATTCAGTCCATTCTTGATTTGACAGAAACCAAGATGGGAAAACTTGTAGAATTCATTTTTTCTTGTGTAGACTTCTTCGCCAAAGATCCTAATTTAATTGTTCCTGGATAGGGCTCAGACATTAATATTTTTTTGAAAGCTACCCAAGTGATTCTAATGTGCAGTCAGGGTTGAGACCCATTGGTTTGGAACCAGTCTTCCCCATACCCACCAGTAGTATGACTTCAGTCACCCAGACTGGTCTCCAACCTAGTCCAAACCTTCACCGTTGCCATGGCTAGATATTACAGCAATTTACTCAAAATTGGTCTTTTCCTGGCCCATCCTATATAACTGCCATAAATATGTGAGTAAAGAAATGTTAACTTGAAAAAAGAAATTCAGCTAACACAGGCACACTAAACTATTTAACCTTCGGAGCTATAAGCTTTTTTCAAATATACTGCCACATATCCTTGGAACTTTTCTGTTGAATATTTTCAGTTTCAATGACTCTTTTGAAGAGAGCCATTTCTAATATCCAAATCCAAAGTCATTTGGAGCCAAAGGATCTAGTTAATGAGATGGAGTGAGCAATTTTTAGTAAGGAAATATGATCGGAGATCTATAGTTAGTCCAAAACTTGAAAAAATTCCAAATGACTACTTTTTTTTTTTAATTTTCAAAAAGCAAAACCCCTCCAAAGGATATATTTATGTTTTAACTCTTTATACTGTTATGCGTCATAATTTGCTATGAGTTACCACCTTTTTAGAGGGTGGTTTGGCAGTACTTAAAAAAAACTCAATATGAGAGAGGGCTGTCGCTGATGATGAAGTTGCCATGCCTGAGATCCTGGCTTCAGAACTAGCTGCATTACTGAAGGTTGAAAGGATAAGTGGGACTGAAAAGAAAGAAATTAATTGCAGCTCTTATACAGAACAGTGAAGTTCCAGCAAGCCTAGGCATAAATGCACTTAGGAAAAAATCCACAGGATGTTTCTCTAAACAAATTCTCCAAAGACCTCTAGATATAAATAGGGCAATTCAAAAATAACTACATTATAAAACAAGAACAGGATAATATCTTTAAACAATGAATAAGAACAAGCTCTGAGAAATTTTAAATGACTGTGAAAAGCTAACTGCTAAGAAGAGTTTGAATGTGGAATTGAAGAAATCTTCCCAAATGTAAACAGCAAGGGAAGAAATGAGAAAAGCTCTTAAGAGGATCAGTACAATCATGTAACAGATATTTCAGGAAGAAACTTAAAAAATGAAAGCAAAGAAAAAAGTGGTCACCTACAAACAGGAAGAGGGATCAAAACTGGCTCAGTGTATAGCAAAAACACTGGATGCTAAAAGGCCGTGACATGAGCAGGGCTTCCAAATGGGGAGGAAACACTTTAAACCTAGACTTTTATATGGTCTGGAGGTAAAAGTCATTATCACGCTTAAGGATAAAAAGTTGGCTTCCAATACACATTTTCCAGGTAAGTTACTTGTGGATGTATTTCAGCAAAAGTGTGAAAACACCAAGTAAGAGAAAGATGTAGGTAGTAAAACCAGTGGAATGAACCTAAGAGTTCAATGAAAAGTCATCCTGCAATGGCAGTAGCCCAAGAGCTAAAAAGCTGTAAGTCTAAATAATGAATAGAATGATTAAGGAATTAGAAATATTAGGAATCAAAAGATCCTTTCTCAAAGAAGAAGAAAAGGAGGCAATTACATTCAGAAGTGGGCTTCTGTACAATAAGGCACAGCAAACTAAAATGTGTCATATCTTGTGTCAATTGGTATAGAAAGTCAGAGGCCTTGAAACCATGTTAGGGATATTCTACTCTCAATGAAAGAGGCATCATGAACTTGGAACCATGGAGAAGAAATAAAATTGACTTGATTCTACAGTAAACATTGTTACATCATGGAAATAACAATTTTATTAGTGTTCAGCTTTTAGAAAGAACCAACATAAAAAACATGGTTACAGAATAGAATGCAAACTTATCTATAGTGTGAAGGTTTAGTGAACAGCAGAAAGGAGAGGAGCGCTGGTTTCCTCATACAAGATCAAGTCAGAAGGTGATGCTACACGATGGCAAAAGTCATCAACAGAAAAACTAAAGATAGTTCACGATATTTTTTTTTTAATCTTAAAAAAGAAAAACTAAAGCTAGCAATATACTGATCAAATGAGGACCATAGTATGGGTGTGCTAAATCCTCATCTTTTTTAGTAGAAAGGCAATAGATAATAACTAAAATCGATCATTAAAAAATAAAACCAGTGGATAAAAAAGCTGGCGCTTTTTAAACTTTCACTATAGATTTCTTCATTTAAAAATATACTGTATAGATATTTTATACGTGTAGAATGTTTTTAAAACTCTAATATTTAAATTAAAAATAGGGGGAAAAACATGGTTCTTGGTATTAACGAGTTAGGTGCTTTGCATGATAATAGAGTAAAAATTTGCTTCCATCTGGGACAAGGGCCTGAAAGAAGTAGGCAAAGGAAACTAGAACTCTGAGTTGAAGAGAACACTAGAAACACAGTTTGGCTGTTAACGAATCTGATCTTAAAAGTATGTTTAATTCATTCTAATGAATTTAAGAGCTGACCCAGTGAGTAACATGCATCTGTTCTGTTTCTCTGTGCCCCAGAGTGATGGTGTGCAACAAACAACCTACCTCGCCCAGCGGTACTGCCACGAAGCAATAAGAGAGATCAGTAAACTTCGACCATCCCCAGAAAGAGATGCTCTCATACAACTCTCGGAAACTGTACTCACAAGAGATAAATGACAAATCTTTCTGTTATTTCTGGCAGCTATTTTACCAGACTGTGCCTAAAGAATTTTGTGGAATATACTTTGCTTCATGTGCGGATAACCAAAAATCATTTTAAAAAATCATTTCAACCTTAACGATGGGCAATTTTTTTTATTGGCAGTTTTTCAGAAAATTTTTAAAATGTAATTAAACCATCTGAATCTGTCATTCTGGTCCTGTAAATTCTAATCGAGGTATCTTGATGGTTATATGTGGTATTGTTTACACTGTTAATATTCACATGTAAAGCCATTACACAAATAAATAATCAATGTTAAAATTCAAACGGTTTATCTATTTCACCATAGGAGTAATGGTCAGAGAACTATGAGGTCTACATTTCAATCCGCATTAGATTTTACAGTATCCAAAATTTCATATAGGAGAATGGTTTATTATAAAAGACTGTACATAAAATTTAGACAAGTTATATACAAAATTAAGAGATCATTCCACTCGAAAAAATGAAGAAGGTAGGTAGCTGATCACTAGTGATACTGAAATCATGTTTAAAATTAACAAAGGCAAAATGCATATGCAACAGTCACAATGATTTGGTAGCAATGGTCTTTAATTCGCAAAAATAAATGTTTTGCACTAGCCTTACCATTTACTATGTTGTTGTAAGTCTGTAATGCTCAGTACGTAACTGTGATTAGAAATCCAAACAATTCCTCAATACACAGAAACCCACACACACTTGAGTGCTCTACTTTAACATCCTGGGAAACACAGAATTATACACAAAAGAAAACATCCCTCTAAACCTCCCTTAAATTAAGAGGAGACACAAAGTGCATGTGTTGCATTTCAATTATGTGAAAAGACAATATAAATCTGTTGCCCAGGTATATCCTTGTTTGCTGATTAATATGTGATCCACCTTTTCCCCCCAATCATTTTAAAAATCTTTTTATGTTGCTAGTGCCAGGTAATAGAATAAATGCTGCCTATTCAGAAATCAATCGCATCCACTTCTACAAAACAGTATGTAAAAGATACGTATAATTTCCTTTCATTGAACCAATAATGCTACAGTCCACTGGAAAACTGGAAGACTAATAACAGCAACACTTAAGAATTTTACCCACAGAATGTGTATACTTTTACACATTTTCTTAGCTTTGAAAAAAGTTACTTTAGAAAAGCAATTAAGTAGATTGAATTGTAAATAACCACAGATTTTAAATCTGCAAAAATCACTCACATTGATGTTGGAACAAGTTGAAATAAGGCTAAATTTTTTTCCAAGTTAATATACTGAGAAAATAGAACCATAATTCTGCAATAAATCAGTATCTTTTATTTATTTTTTAAAGCAAACCAGTGAAGGAAAGGACAAAAGCCTTTGGTTCACTTATATATTTATGAATGGAAAAAATTTATAATGCAAATTCACTCATTAAAAAACTTAGGTACAAATTACAACATTACAGATAACCTTTTTTTTTGTTTGTTTTGTTTCACATGGAAAGCTTAGAGACTCGATTCATTTCAAGAGGCCTAAGTACGAGTACTCCAAGTAAATATTACACAAATTGGAAGCATCTTGGATTTTTTAAAGTATATGTCAATACATAAATTTGTATGCATGCTTTAAACAAAGTTATATTTCAAGAATGAGAGAGTCTAAACAAAAAGTATGACCAGCACCAGCATTTAAGTTTCTGATTTTAATATTAGTCTGACATAGCATTAGTAACCATGCTCACTAAAACATGTAATGGTACAATCTGAATCATGATTTGTTATATATTATACTCCATACCCCCAGAATATTTAGGCTGGTCATAAAGTTAACATTGTGTAAGTAAGTACATAAGCAAAATCAGTTATGGGCAGCTTCTTGTATAAATTGCTATTTAGCAACATACAAACTGCCTCAAAGATTTATGCTTACAGGTAGACATTCAATTATACCAATAAAACAGCATGTCCTGAAAATATGGGCACATTTTAAAATATTTTAAGACAATTCTGTTACCCATTAATAGTCCCACAGTATGACTGAGTAATAATAAGAACCTACTTTAAAAGCAAAAAAAAAAAAAAAAAAAATTAATCAGTATAGTGCATGATTGATTCAACATAATTCCCAGGGAATAGACCAGTCACTCGATTGCAAACTCCTTCATACCAGCCATCGTCATTCTTCTTTATCACATAAATGATTGCACCCTCCATAAATGACAGCTCATCATCCTTGTCTTTCGTATAATCATATATTGCCACAACTATGGAGAAAAGAGTCAAAATAACACATGAGTGCACTCCAATCAACATTTAACTGAATTTTAAAATATAAGGCCAATTATATCTACAGTATAGCAAAATTAACTTCTTATAAATATTTTTAATTCTCACATTTATAAATATAGGTAGACCAGTGGTCAACTATGTGCCTAAATCACTAGCTTGATCTTAGGGCCAAACTGACAATCTGATTAAAATAGAGAAATCATTAGTTTCTACCTATCTATTAGGGAAGATGTCTGAATTTTAGGATTTATTAGATATTTCAATTCATTTGTTCAAATATCTACTAAGTGCCAGTAATATGCAAAACACCATTTTTCAAAATAACTATTGTGCAAAGCTGCATAGCCACAATCAGTAAACCAGTTATCTAATTTGAAAGTACAGTAAAACTTTGGATTGCGAGTAACGTGGTTTCCAAGTGTTCCGCAAGACGAGCAAACATTTCTAATACATTTTAACGTGATAAACGAGCAATGTCTTGCAATACGGAGCAGTTTGTTTCCAGAACAAATTATGCTCACAAACCAAAGTATTACTGTACCTATATACTGGGAGGTAAATCTCATCCTACTCAATCCAAGGAAAACATTCATGTAATTTATGGGGCTATATTTAGAATCTTTCACAGAATATTTACACACTTTAAGGTCAATAGGATTTTTTTTTTTAAAGGGGAAACAGCTGAGTAAAGACCCATTAAGCCAGAGGACTATTTGTAATTCTGTAGTATCTGTGATTATTTTGAGTTCAAAATATGTATTCCCTTTCTTTGCAGTGTTGTGGAAAGGCATACAAAATTAATAATTTTCCAAACTACTGGTTTATAAATTTAATTATTCCTTCATTCTGCCTTTATAGCACAATTATATGTGATTATATGTAATTTTCCAGTATATATGAAATGGTATGTGATATGGATATGGACTTACCTCATGTAGTTTTTCTTAAAATAGAGTTTTTAAGACATTTAAGATGTTCTGGCACTCACTTTTCCCCTAAAAAAGATGGCTACTCCCCATAATTATTCTGAATTAAATTAAAATAAGGAAGAGACCTGAAGCCCTAATCTACAGCATCATTTGCTAAATCAAATTAGGCAATCTTTTTTCCCCTGCATAAAATACTATATTATGTAAGCTCAACAAATCCATTCCCTCCATTTTCATCCTGCAGCAGAATCACAGTATTGTGATTATAAGCTCAATGACATAGTTGTTTTTTTTAACCCCAAAACAAAGAATAAACAATATTAAATTATCCTGGTATTAATTTTGGCTAAAAAACCATCCAAGAAAGTTGAATGAATGCTAGAGTTAGTAAAGAAAATAGTGTAATAATAAAAAAACAAAATATTGATTATTTGTCAATATTTATTGTTTCACTTTGGTAACATTAATTTCTTTGCATTCAGAGTCATAATGGGTTAAATTTTGAGTGGTGTAGATAACTTGTAAACTTATTATGACAAAGCCATGACACCCTCCAAGTCATTCAGCAGAATAAAAATTTTTTTTCTCTTCTTATATTATTTCCTCTTCCACTTATACTTGTACAAAGAGCTGGTAAAAGTACTGACCTCAATTAATAATGCTTCTATTTTCCATGTCCCCTTTGTAAATGTAACCTAGTCGCACCCAACCTCCCCTTCCCCAATGCACATAGTCTCTAACACAGTAACTTACTGCTGAGTACTTAACCAATTAACAATTCTATGTCCATTCTACTCTCCAGGATCCTGATCCATATTAAGAGCTCAACTCTCTCTTCTGTATGTATTGTAGGTTTCTTTGGAAGTCAAAATCTAATAGTCAAATCCTACTTCTACATGAGAAAAATCTGAAGATAGCTATCCAGTCCCTCTGAAATCTTTTCCTTAACTAAAAAGAAAAACAAAAAAAAAAGCTTTCAACTGTTTTCATAGATGCACGTTCTAGATATTCTGGCCTCCTGAATATTCTCTGAAGGCAATCCTGTCTGCCAGATCTTGAAATGTGTATTTAAAATTAGACATAATAATAGTCTAACATAAATGCATATGATCAGATTGGTACATATTAGGCTGAAATTCAGCTAATGTACCCTAAGAATCTGGCTTTTCAAATAATCATATCATACTGTTGATTAATATATTCAACTGAAATCCTATCAAACCAGGTTTTATTCATCTTGTGATTATAAAGGTGACTATTAAAGGCTTTAAATATAATCCTACTAAATATAAATGTTGGGATTTAGAATAGGGGTCAGCAAACAATGGCCAATAGCCAAATCCAAGCCACTACCTTTTTTGTGTATCAAGTTTTATTGGAACACAGCCACATGCATTCACTTTTGGATTGTCTCTGGCTGTTTTTGTGTTATAACAGTGGTGCTAATACTTGTATCAAGAGACTGTGGCTGGCAAAGTTGAAAATATTTCATTTTGCAACATATACAAATACCGAATCATTACATTGTACACCTAAAACTAATATAATGTTATGTTAATTATACCTCCATTTTTAAAGAAAGTTAAAAATACTTATTTGGTCTTTTACAAAAAAATGTGTGATGACCCCTTGGTTTAAGACTCATTTCAACTTGTGAAGGTATTTTTAAATCCTGCTCTGTTACTAAGTATATTAAACATTATATAATTCTAAATTTGTCAACTTATATAAAAATATAAGTCCCAATTTCACAGATACTTAAATTTGCTTTTCCAAGCCAGAAAATATGGGTAAAAACACAACTGAAGACTACTAGTTCAAGTTTATCACCCTCATAATAACCACAACATATCTCTATTTGAAGTACATGAGAATCTAAACATAAAGCAGTATATTCAAGACTTCCTGAAAAATATGTAGGATATTTACTGTTTAAAATATAAAAAAGGGAAACAGCAAATTTACTTTTAGCCATGTATTCAAAATTTGGACAGGAGAGAATGCAACAGGTCTCAAGAGCTACACCTACTTGCTGCAAGTCAGTTAATGCAATAAAGCCAATGGAAAGGGGATACATTTCAAATGCAATCAAATGTGATCAACTAAATTATAAGCATTTTCCAGAACTCTACAGAAATATAGCACAGAACTGGATGAGAAAAAGCAAATAAACTCTCTAAAAACAGGATTTGTTTCTTTTCCACCCACTATTTCTTAATAGATAATTATAAGTAAATGGTCAGTAATTTACGTAAAATTGGACATTCAAGTTATACATAATTTCATGAGATGAAATTCTAGTGATTATCTTCTTTTATAAGATCAACCAACTGAAAACCTTAAATTGAGGCTTTTTCTTTTGATAGTCCCAATATATTTTAAAATATTTAGATATGAAAGGTCTCTCTCTGTTATAAGCTTGCAAATTTTGTTTGAAATCAATATCCATACCAATTATAACTAGTAAATCATCTCACTCCTTTTTTCTGTCTGAGTTGGTTCATCTATAAAATGCATACAAGGCAAGTTAATCTCCAGCTAGAAGCCTGTGTCATTTGATAAAGCACATGTACATTACACTTTTAATTTACAATATAAAGAATCCTCCCTTTATATTGGGAATATATAGAAAATAATGTTTAATGAAATCATCTTAGCTGGTAAGACTTCAAAAGGTAGAAAACACTGGATTAGATGTTCTTCATAGCTCTAAAATTCTATAATTAGGTTATTTTCCTTTACACCAATTCAGTAATGATTGTATCTCACCTTTCTCAATATAATTCTTGGGGGCCCAAGCGGGATCTCCATCTGCATATGGGTCATTATACTGAACTACTGCAGCCTCCTCATCTTCATAATCCACTGGAGGTGGTGGGGGGGGAGGTGGGGAGTCATCAAACATGGGAATGTCATCTGGTGGGGGTGGTGGTGGAGGAGTTGGACTATCAGCAACTAAAAAAATTCAGATAGTTAATTTGAATCAGAAATTAGACTAGCTCATAACAGAGTTTAAGAAAGCTCTAATTCATATACAGCATGCACTATAATAAAACATGCAATGATTAGAAATAAAAGCTTGGTGTGTTAAAGCTTTTACTACTCTTAAGAGTAATTTTGCAATAATAAAATGAGCTAAAAATACTACAAATTAATGAATGCAGGAGGTTAGAAGACAATACATATCTTCCCCCCCCCCCTAAATAAAGAGTATAGGAGTAAATAAGTTTCCTTATTCCAAGGCTCAGGTCAAAACAAATGTCACTATCTTAGCCTAGCTCCTTCGCCACTTCTGTCATTTGGACTAATCATAATGAATAACTTTACGTTAATGGTTTGTGCATTCACTGTGCACATTCATGTCCTGATATTGGCTTTTAATATCATTAGCTCCCCAGAAATCAGTGGGTGGGTATTTATTTTTGTTTGTTTTAATGGAGAAAAAAAGAAAA